TCACTGAAATGAAGGGAACATTCACAGCTGAAATCATCATTGTTACAGCAGCTAATTTACGGGAATTTGCCCTGTAAATTCTGAGCTCAACAGCTGGGATTGTAGCTTATGTGGATGCAAAGACCCACCTTAAGAGGCAGTTAAAAGTCAGATTTTCTTCGACTTTCAGTTGGAAACCGACATCTTTGGTTGGACGTATTCCAGTTGCCGGGGCGTAGTATGTCGAACTTCCTGTGGTGATATCCTAAGACCTGGAGATCACTGCGTGAACTTAGGAGCAGTGATATTGCAAGATCATTACTTGGATCTTCAAATCTGAAATCGTGTTCAAAAGAATTTGAAGGAACATTGAAACGCTGTTTGGAACAGTTGGAGTGTTAAAAAAATGTAGGTTTAACACACCAAAAGTATAACTTTGTAAAGCCGCCAAAACGGTCTTTAACCCCGCAATGATGACCTGTTGATAGCTTAGATGGCTTTTTCATGGCTTAGATGGCTTAGATGGGAAGCCACTAGAGATGGAAGTTTCAGATGATCATCTGCTGACATACTTTGAGTCACCCAGAGGTTGCATGTCTGTGGTGACAGGTGTGCAGGGTGATCCATAAGGGAAACATCGAAAAAGGCTTCGTACCTTTTTCCGAAAATTTAGGAGCTGGAAAAACCAGAAAAATTGACTGAATCCACTGGTTTCTCATCATTGGCCCAGTCTGAATGGCCACAACTTGGCGGGATGTACACCGTATACCCCATTTTTGGACATACCCTCATCCTCTTTATGATCCGTTTGATGTGACACTGCTTTGGACCTACCAGAGGCCTACTTGCAGCCTAGAGATGGCTGGAACCTTGGAAGGCTTGAACTCGCCATGGTTCATGGCTCAAATCATGGTTCCCTGCAAAAAAGTCCCCCACAAATGGCCCATTGAGAAGGCCTTTCAAAATGCAAAGGGATGGCGACATGAAGTCAAGATGCTAGTTGTTGCCCAGCGTGGCCTTTCACCGGTCGCAGAGGACATGCCATGCGCACTATCTGGCAGTGAACGTAGGGGGTCTTAGTTTGGAGTTATGGCTATCCAAATTCCCTATGAGCCGAGGAGCTAAAACCAGACTTTCCCAGCCATGTCTTCAAGACAAATTTCCAGTAAAAGTCCTCAGCGCTGAAGCCGTCGGCACTTGCATTGGATGTTGCAACTGTCGATGTCGCCGACGGTCCGAAGCAGGGCCCATGCTTTGAGGTGGGGTAGAATCGCTCAGCGATTTCGACGCTCGGAGAAGTGCCAGTTTTGAAGGGACACCCCTTCTGCTGTTCAAACATGGCTTGCTCGAAAATCCGCCATCGTTCATTTTCCAGGCAAAAACCTGCATGGCTCACGGGTCCCAGAATCTACCTTGGAGCTGCAACGAAGGATACTCGCTGACAGCCGGTGAGTTTGATCCACTTCTGCCTTTCTGATGCGAAAATCAGTCGATTGATGCTGGTGCCATGCCTACCCTAAGCTGGCTGCAGAGGCTAAAGCGGCTAAGTTCAAGGTCGCGTTTCTTAAAAGCGAGCCGCTGCTGTCATGTGGGCGTGTCTGAAAATGGGATAACTCCAACATGTCCATTTTGATAAGGAACATGATGAGTAACCCAGCAGATTTAGGAGTATCCCGGTATCCCTTTTTGAGACAAAGCCATCTTACTGGCGTGAGTTGGATCAGCATTCTTGTGCCAAATTGACATTGCTCCGCAACTGAGAAGCTGGAAATCTACCAGAGCAAAACACTAATCAGATGCCAATGCGCTGCCAAGCTCCACAAGGCTCTTGCGCCAAACGGGAAGCTGTGGCCAGTTTCGCCAAATGCCAACTTATGCGTGCGAATTTTTATTGCCCAAATTCCGAAGCAGGAGGATTCATGGCGGATCGCATAAAGAGCACTCTCTTGACACAGGGAGTTCCACTTGTCTGGTTGATTTGGATGGACCGTGGCCGCATGTCATGCATGTCATGCGCTTCGCTGCTTCACGTCAGATGCATGCCACTGTTCGTCAGGCACCTGGTACATCTGGCACCGGTGGTTTCGCTGTGACGGGTGCTGAAAGGACTCTCCGCTGATGCTGCAGTTCCTCGGGAAGTCCAGGTTTGAGAAAGTAAAGGAGGCCCAAATCCCAAAGATGTGGGGTTTCCATAAGTGGGGATCCCAAAATGGATGGTTTATAATGGACAATTCTACAAATGGATGATCTAGGGGTACCACATTTTAGGAAACCTCTATATATGAGGCAATCCTCAAGTTGCTTAAGAATGGCAGTGCTTGCGGCATTGAGCAGTGACAGATTGAGAGATCAAGTGGTGCAAAGTTGTGGTGCAAATTTCCTTGGATCATATATGGTGGCGTTTCCGTCACATCTTTGAAGAATCCGATGCTGCAGAAGGTTCATCTAGGCTGCAAAATGCCTTCTAAGTCCTTTCATGGCTTCACGACACTGACTAAAGTTAAGTAAGGGACATACTCCAAGGTTCTTGCTAAGGACTCAAGCAACTCACCAGTCAGGAGCTAGCCGAGTTTGGCGAACCCAAAAGTGTATCTTGAGGTTATTAGCCCAGTGAAATCACTTGTGGGCCATGTTATCTTGAAACTTTCTACAGCTCGCAGTTTCGCCGTGGAACCTGGACTCTTTGGGCCTCGAAGTCGGGCATTTTCTGACTCAGCCAACTCAGCCAAGCTCAGTTCGTGGAGTTCCACTTAGGAAGCCGCCGAGATTATTCTCGGCGCCGTTTCCGCTGAAGAAGTGATGATTTGAGGCTAGTACAGTGGTAAACTGCTAAACTGAAGAAAAACACCCATCCTGAGTACATTTAGTACCGTAAATGTTTGGTGCAACCCAACCATCCCCATTTTGGGTAGGCAGGTGCCAGTGGCTTTTTCGGCTTAAAAAATGAGCGCTCTTCCAGGGGGCCCAGGACTTGGCTGAGCTGTACACTGGAATCGCCTCTCATAGGACGCTTTGATGGCGGCCATGATGGCCATGGCTGATTCGAACCCCATGGCTTTGTCTGAAAATGGCCTACCCCCAATTTTTTATAGAGTTTAGAACTGTTGAACTGCATCTTCCCAGAGCAGTGGCAAATTTGGTGGCGCCGTGTGGCCATGAAGCCGTGAAGCAGTGGCCGCGGATCTCTTGACGTTCCTCCGTCTTTTCCTCAAGGACCTCAAAGCACTTCTCTGACTTTCAGACATCGCAATGCCTCAGCCGGATTCTCCAAGGGAGTTTCCGTTTGTTTGATAGGACAAAGCAGCTAGATAAAATATGTCAGCATCAGAAAGCTACGAAAGTGAAGGTAAGAACAATGGAAATCAATCAATGTATGAAATCAACAGAACACCATTGGAGACCTTGGAGTTCTTTTTTGGCACGTGCCTCTCGTAGCCAAGGCTATTCCGATTGAAGGTGAAGCTTGAGTTCTTTCGCAGACCATTGTGAAATTCTGAAGCCAAACAAGATGAACACCTGAAATTCAGCCTGAAATCATCTGAAATAATGTAAATCACGTTAAATCACCTTATATAGATCGTCTTAAATCCTGTTAACATGTTGATTTCTGGTGTATGCCTTCATCTACAGCAAGATACCAGTTGCTAGCCGCGTAGATCATCAAGATTCCGACGTCGGACTTTTTGGCTAACGGACCCTCCAAGAGGTGGTCAGAAAATTGGCAGATCCTACAATTGGACATGTATTGGGAATGATGGAATGGTGATTCTGCCGTGATTTTTCCACGTTGGAAAATTCAAAGCCACCATTCCCCAGCCCAGGGGCCATTTTGGGCCACGTGACCGGATGATGTGTGGTGACGCGCACCGCAAAACCCTGTAATCGTTGGATCTTTTTGTCTAACTTGGGGTTTTCTTCCGAAAAAACGTTATGAGACCTTCCGGGAAACTTAGATGATAAGTCCTAGTAATTCATAAGCCATAGGACCATAGGAAATTAGGCCAAACCGAAGCTGTTGCAGTCTGAACTGGACGTTTGTTTCACATTTTGCCAGAACTTGGATGGAGACCGTCGAACATCTCCCGAGGCGACGTTTACAGCGCTGGCTGTCGCTTTTGTTCGCTTCAGTTTCTTTCGCTTCAAAGTGTGCTGAGCAGTCAATATATATTCAATAGCCTCAATAGACCCTCGGAACTCTTGGATTTCTAAAAATCTCGTGGCGTGTCATAAAACTGCCAGCATTTTTCTTCGATTCTCACCCAGCTGGTTTCGGCAGGGCGGGTAGAGGTGGGGCTTTGCACTAAGATTTGCGGTATCAAACTCCGAAAGGTGCTGCAGGTGACGTGCCCCTGAGAGGTGCTGATGTGCCCCTTTTGGGACCGTTTTGACCATCCGGGGAGCCTTGGCATTCCATGGCAATAAACATGGGACCCAACGATGGTGAGCGAAAACGGGGTGTTTCGGTGATGGCGATGTCACCTTTGAGAAACTTCTCCGAGATTCGCGTTACCAATGTGCCAGAGACTCTTTTTTCGCAGAAGAAAAACTGGAGACCTTCTAGATGGTACCCTCTGGTAATTTAACGTAACTATGGAAAATCACCATTTTTCATGGGAAAATCCACTATAAATGGCCATTTTCAATAGCTACGTTAAATTACCAGAGGGTATCTAAATTGAATGTGAGAGTTATCTGGAAATTTGATGAAATTTGCAGCTTGCAACGTTACAAAGCGCAACAGGTTTACAGATAGTTGAAGATGACATGAAAAGAGTGGGAAGTTTTACATGTCTTGCAGCTTTCTGGTTCCCTTTCAAGACTTTTCCATGTCCAAGGGTCAGCGTTTTCTGTATTTCTGAATGGCCATAGGCCATGGATGTTTTTGCAGATCATTTTTCCATTGATGTTAGTACAGCAATAAGATCCACCGTCTCCAATAATTATCATTATGAACCAAACACAGTCACCATGAATTGTCATTCTTAACCAGTAGTAACCAGCAAAATCACATTAGATCGTTGTGTTCCTCTCTAGATCCACATGCTGGTGTCGTTGCAGCAGGTTGGAATTCCATGGTGGTCTGCGGTTTTTCTACAGCTGAGCAGTTTCAAAAGCCCTGGTTGATAATTATTAGCGATACACTTGGGAATGGGATGCAACAGGAGATTTTTTGACAAATACCAACAATATGATATGTGTTTGCTAGTTCCCCACATTGACGTGTGGGGTTTTTGTTGCTTTAGTTGCTTTGGTTACTTTTTTCATGTCACCATGTTAGCTGGGAATCCCTGACCGACCATGGGCTGCCTCTTTAGCAGCGATCAATTGAATTGTCACCCATTAAACCTGGGATGTTAGGATGTAGAGTGTGGATTTATTACCTGGACAATGATCATATCAGGCTCAGTGGTGTGAGCATTTAACATATTTAACATATTGTAGAGCTTCGCACACCGGCGATGCCTGTAGGGGTCGGGGGAGGGAAAGAGAGAGGGGGATTTCATCTGAACTTGCGGACATGACATGCTGCGAGCTGCATCGTTGTCGTCGTTGTCGTCGTTGTCGTCATCGTCATTGTCATTGTTGTCGTCGTCGTCGTCGTTGTCGTTGTTGTCGTCGTCGTCGTCGTCGTCGTTGTTGTTGTTGTTGCTTCTGGTCCTCGTTCTCGTTCTCGTTCTCGTTCTTGTTCGTGTTGTCGTTGTCGTTGTCGTCGTCCTTGTTGTCGTCGTTGTCCTTGTTGTCGTCGTTGTCGTCATTGTCCTCATTGCCATCGTTGTCGTTGTTGTCGTCGTCTTCGTCGTCGTCGGCGGCGTCGTCGTCGTCGTTGTCGTTGTCGTTGTCGTTGTCGTTGTTGTTGTTGTTGTTGTAGCTGCTTGGTCCTGTTGTCATTGTCGTTGTTACAGTATCTTTGTAGTTGGTACTTTTTGCAAACCCCCGAAAATCGTCAAATAGGCGGTTTTTGCAAACCCCCAAAAAGCGTCAAATAGGCGGTGTTTGCACGATTTTTCACGTTCTCGGAACAAAAAACACCGTAAATACCGATGTTTTTGGCTCCGTGCCAGCGCAAAACCACGGTATTTACGAGGTTTTGAGCCTCTGCTAGCAAAAATCACGGTATTTACAGTGTTTTGTGGCCCGGGCCTAGCAAAAACACTGGTATTTACGCAGTTTCCAGCATGTTGTCACAAGCTTTTTTTCGATGCCAAAGGCACAATAACATTGTAAATTACACGATTTTTACGCGTGGACAGCACCAAAAAAACATGAAGAATCAACCAAAAATCGACCAAAAAACGCCCAACAAGGCCTCCAAAACGCATCTTCGAATTTTACCCTCTTTTTTCCTACCCCGAACCCCCAAAAAGGTGAAAACCCCAGCGCCCTGAAGGATTTTCAAAAAGGTCGGCAGCAGGGGCGCGCCCCCGGGTAGCTAAAGCTATGCGCTTAGCAACACCACTTATAGAATGGGCTAACGCCCGGGTGCCGCCGACCCCCCTTTGAAGCCCCAACAAGACAGTGTGGCTAGGGATTGAAGGCCAGCAAATGGTGGTCTTGAAGCTTCAACAAGACAGTGTGTAGAGCCACTGCGGAGGGTTTGACGGTTTGAAGAAAGGTCTGAAGGCTGGCAAACGGCACTCGTGAACCCCCAACGACAGAATGTGTAGTGCCTCTTCGGACAGTACGCCTCTGAAGGCCGGCAAACGGCGTAACGCCTCAACAATAGAGTGTGTAAGGCCGCTGCGGAGGGTTGACGCGTTTGAAGGTTGGCAACCGGCAGGCTTGAACGCCCTAAGAACAGAGGGCTATGTGCAGGCAAACGGCAGGCTGCAACGCTAGAACAGCAGGGGCTTACGGCCACAGGGCTGGGTGGAAGCTGCTGCGAGGAAGCGGCCGCGAGGCGCCCTAGGCATGGACGCCCTAACAACAGAGGGCTATGCAGGCAAATGGCAGGCGGAGCATTGTAAGGGTCGTAAGCGTTTAAAGGCTGGCAAACGGCAGGCTTGAACGCCTTAAGAACAGAGGGCTATGTGCAGGCAAACGGCGGGCTGCAACCCTGGAACAGCAGGGGCTTACGGCCACAGGGCTGGGTGGAAGCTGCCGCGAGGAAGCGGCTGCGAGGCGCCCTAGGCATGGACGCCCTAACAACAGAGGGCTATGCAGGCAAACGGCCGGCGGAGCATTGTAAGGGTTTTAAGGGTTTGAAGGCTGGCAAACGGCAGGCTTCAACGCCTTAAGAACACAGGTCTATGTGCAGGCAAACGGCAGGCTGCAACGCTGGAACAGCAGGGGGTTATGGCCACAGGGCTGGGTGGAAGCTGCCGCGAGGAAGCGGCCGCGAGGCGCCCGAGGCATGGAGGCCCTAACAACAGAGGGCTATGCAGGCAAACGGCAGGCGGAGCAATGTAAGGGTTGTAAGGGTTTGAAGGCTGGCAAACAACAGGCTTGAACGCCCTAACAACAGAGGCTATGTGCACGCAAACGGCAGGCTGCAACGCTGGAACAGCAGAGGCTTACGGCCACAGGGCTTGGTGGAAGCTGCCACGAGGAAGCGGCCGCGAGGCGCCCTAGGCATGGACGCCCGAACAACAGAGGGCTATGCAGGCAAACGGCCGGCGGAGCATTTTAAGCGTTTGAAGGCTGGCAAACGGCAGGCTTCAACGCCCTAAGAACAGAGGGCTATGTGCAGGCAAACGGCAGGCTGCAACGCTTGATATCCCAACTTTCTCCCCATTGGCAACTATATCCCATTGATATGTTGATGCTCTATGGTAGCTATATACAGTAATTATACGGTAATTATATGGTGAATATGATACATGAGACTTCCCCATTGGCAACTATATCCCCACGATATATGGACGCCATGGGACGATGGTGAGTATATCAATTAGTTTCATTGATATCGTAAACCGCTATGATACATGAGACTTCCCTATGAGACTATATCCCCTGATATATGGATGCTATGGGAAGATGATATCCCAACTACCATCTGGTTATTTAACATAACCATGGAAAATGGCCCATTTATAGATGGTTTACCTATAAAAAATGGGTGGATCTTTCCATGGCTATGTAACAAATAACCCCATCTCCATTTCAGGCCTGTGCCACCCGTCACAGTGCGGGCTTGTTGCTGCCCACTCGGCCACCGCAGCGGTCCTCGGCACCACCGGAGGTGGGTTTGGCCCCGCGGGTTGAGCGGGCTTGGCCCGGATTTCACGTCGAAAAGGGCGAAAAGGGGGGGGGTGAACCTGAAAAAAATCGGTTTTTCACGTGAAAATTTGGGATCTAACATGAAGAATGGTGAATTTGAAGTGAACAATTTGAATGTCACATGATTTTAAGAGGACTCAAGAGACAGTTTTTCCCATCTCTTTGTGTAACAATGACGTCCACTGCCAGACGGTTCAATAGGATTCTTTTGATGGTCACTGAGAAAAATGCGGATTTCACCCACAATATGGTGGGGATGTGAGCCGGGTTATGGACATGTAACACAATGGGGTCTAATTCGTTGATGGTGAAGAATGGGGTTCTGACGGAGAACAAAACATGGGGATAGAGTTACACTGAAAATCTCATGCGACAGTAACAGGTTCTATCAGACATGTGGTCTATTCCCGAAGCACAATTTGCCGGAATTGTTTTAAGGAAAAACTGAAGGTTTACCCCTATATTTGATGATAACTGCCACAGTTTCCAAACAACTTCATTTTCAAGTCCGGTAAAAGACAAGAATCACCCATGTAGGTCATATTAGAGTCATATTGTTCGTTGTCGATTCCCTTATGTTCATGCTACCCTCCAGTAAATTAACATAGACCCTGCCATTTTTCGCAGTTGGAAGATTAGTTTCCATTAAAAATTGGTTATAAAATCAGGGTCTATGTTAATTTACCAGAGGGTATTAATGGGGATTTAACATCCATAAATTGGAGTATAACCGTTATAACCCCCAAAAAAACCATGGTCCATGGTTGTTTGAGCCACTAGTGGAACTACACCTCAGGGTATCTTTTTCATAGTTCCGGTAGATCTTTCGTTCATCCCCCAGCATTGTCGCGGGTTCGTGGGTTCCCCAGCCAGGGAGCTTTGCGGATCACGGTGGTGACGCCACGAAAGGTTCCATGGCTTTCACCATGGGGGACGTCCCAGGGGCCATAAGATAACTGGGGATATTCCATAGATAACTTGGTTAACTTAGGTAATTCTGGTAGCTATGGTTAGAGAATCAGTTGGATTTAAGCTGAAGACGATTTTGCTTATTTTCTCAATGGGAAATCACTGCTTGAGGAATCTTTAGGGCATATCTTTACCTATCTTTTGGGTGCCTTAAGCAAATCCAAGATAATACACTAAGTCACCCCAACTGCTGCCCCAAGTATTGCTTGGAAGATCGGACATAGGGCCTAGCGGCTAGGGGTTGAACCCTGCTCGATGGATAGCCTTCATAGCTAGTCGCATCACCGAATGTCGTAGCTGTGTGGCATCTTTTTGAGATGATCCATATGGTCCATAGCCATCTGATGAAAACTCAGCTACGCTTGCATGAAAATCCCAGTGATAATGGAGAGTCTTCATTTTTTCGATTCGCCACGATTGTTCGGTTTTCATCAGATCCCAAGATTTCCCTGAAACAACTTGCAATCCCCAAAAAAGATAGAACAGGAATTTGTGGCACTTCATCTTTTTTTCTAGAAATTCCTTGGGCTTGCCAAAATTTTAACACTGATTCATCCGATTTCCTTGAGAAAAGCTTTGATTCATCAGATACCCTCTGGTAAACTAACATAACTATGGAAAATCACCATTTTTAATGGGTAAATCCACTATAAATGGCAATTTTCAATAGCCATGTTAGTTCACCAGAGGGTATTTGTTGATCCTTCCCATTCCACAAAAAGCTGTCGTAACGCCAGGGGCGTTACGAGCTGGTTGTTCGCGAAGACTCCACTCAAGAGGATCTGCGGCAGCAGCTCCATGCAGCTTGGCCGGCTTGGCCGTTGTGGGATAGGGCTTGTGTCGTGTCTCCAAAAAATTGGGGTATATGCTGCAGAAAAAAACCCCTGAAATGGTCATTTGATCTCATTTAAAAGGGACATTGATGAGAATGGAATTGAGTGGGTATGGTATTTTCAGACAAAGCCACAAAAAGGATGGATTTTTTTTTTGGATATTCATGGGATGATATCGGTTTAAATAGTGTATAATAATGGATCATTATGGGGCCAACTGCAATAAATCATCCCCAAAAGAGATTTATGAAATTGGGCATAGCACGATTTGGGATGATATAAATGACCCACAGATGGTTGGCTACTGGGATGGTTTACTACGGGGTTTCCCACGGTAAACCCGTGGTTTTTTTTACCACCGAAACATGCTAAGTTGGTTCAGTTCACTCATATTTAACCAGGGTTTTTGGTGATGAAATAACTACATTAGATAGTTTTATAAACCAACTTGTACAATGAATAGGTGGTTTTTCTGACATGAATATGGCTAAAAATCCCTTCCCCCGAATACTGAACCCCCATGGTACCCATGGTGGATGTAGGGGAGGAGATTAACCAACACACATTGTCACGGTGAGCAATTGCGTCTCTGGAATGATGGGAATTGGATAATTGGATTGGGGTAACTATCCCATAATGGCTGAACTTTTCAGTGGATGACAATACAAAGTCCAGATGGTGATGCCATGCTTGGGGGTGCATCCCAACTACGGGTGGACAAACGTATATCCTACGAAGAAAGCGAGGTTAGAACATAGTTGCCACATACTAACTGGGATGCACATCCAAGTAATCAGCGAAACACGGAATCAAACAGCGCCAGACACAGGAAGAGTAGCTAGATTCAGCTAGATAGCAGGATAGAATCGGGAACGTTGTAGGCATGGCATACATCCCAACCTTGGACAGGTAGTTTAATCATGTTTAATCCTCTAGTTTCCGCTATAAGTGGAAAATATCCACAACCAGCAAAAGATATTGTTTTTTACTCTTTGGACTACCAAAGATGTACCACGCATACAGAACTGGAATTTCTCTCATTCTATTTTAGGAGTGAGTAGCTGCAGGGAACGCTAGAGCCATCCACTTTGTGGTGAGGGCTTTTTGGGATGAATATTTAAAGGAGCAGTATAGGTTTAATAGCTACGGATAAATGAACCCACACATATGTATATAGTTGTATATATATATATACATATATATAACATACAGTCATAACATACAGTCAATATATTAGTATGTATCTCACCAACAACTCGGACATAGAATTCCCAGCCATTGAAGATTTCAGAACCAGCTATGTACATGTAGGTATGTAGGTATGTAGGTATGTAGGTATGTAGGTCTGTAGGTCTGTAGGTCTGTAGGTCTGTAGGTCTGTAGGTATGTAGGTATGTAGGTATGTAGGTATGTAGGTATGTAGGTATGAATGTATGAATGTATGAATGTATGAAATGTATGTATGTATGTATGTCTGTATGTATGTAATGTAATGTAACATAACGTAATGTAATGTAACGTAACGGAACATAACGTAATGTAATGTATAATGTAATGTATAATGCAATATACAATGTAATGTATAATGTATGTAATGTAATATGTAATATGTAATATGTAGTATGTAATATGTAATATGTAATATGTAATATGTAAGATGTAATTTACAATGTAATGTACAATGTAATGTATAATGTATGTAATGTAATGTAATGTAATGTAATGCAATGCAATGCAATGCAATGCAATGTGATATAATGTAATGTAATGTAATGTAATGTATGTATATATACATACACATATAGACATATACGCAACATACATGTACACAGACACACACACATATATATATATTAATAATATGATATGGCCATCTCTACATGGTTGTTTGGAGATTTCATCGCCGACCTTCACCAAGGAAGCCAAGACCCAGAACGTGCATCTGCGACCCTACCACGATCCCACAAAGTTGAAATCCCGTGAAGATGTGGAGATGCGAATTCTCTACAAAGGTGTGGGGTTGGTCGGAATGCAGGGCAGGGCCTGCCGGTGACCAAAAAAAAAGGATTTAAAACTCCATAACTTGGGATATGGGCCCTCAAAGTATGGTCGTATATCGGCCATATTGGCTAGTTTTGACAGTCTGCTATGGAAAATGGCATATTTATAGATGATTTACCTGTGAATAATGACGATTTGCCATAGCTATGTTCAATCACCACAGGGTGTTTAGGGACCCTTGAGACATAGTGTTTTCTTTTGTTTTGGGGGGGAACAAGATGATGTTTCTATCCACAAACACCAACTGAAAGGTCGGTTCTATGATCCAACTGGTGGTTGACGGTGAAAGTATATGAGAAACGCAACCTTGTGAAGATATCAACGTTCCCAAAGCATTTCGAAAGCATTTCCCTCTCTGGCAGGGGCCTCCATTTTCGACACTTGAAATGGTGAAGCAGCGGTTAAAAGGTGATGTTCATTACAAAGATGCCCTCTGTAAACACTCTGGTAAACAAGTGTGGGAAATTCCCCGAACTCAAGGTTTTCGGTTTTCGTGGGATCTATGGGGAACTCATTGGAACTAGCCTCTGCTAGTGACTAACACTTCGCTATTTTTCACATGGCCCAGTCGAAAGTTCCTTGATTTACCCAGCTATGGCAGCATGATGATTTTCCATAGTTTTTTGTATGTTTACCAGAGGGTAAACCTATGGTTTTCCTATGGTTTTCCTATGGTTTTCCTATGGTTTTCCAGAGGGTAAAGATCCCATTAAATCCCATTACCCATAGGATCCATAGTCCTATAAAATGGTGGATCTTTCCAGTTCGTGACCTGTTCGACCTGTCGGGTGCCGCTTATGCCGCGCCAGGCATCCCCATGAAGTCCACCTTGAAGCAGCTGGGAGTGTCCAGTGGAGCGACTTTATTGGCTCTACCCGTGCCCCGGCCGATTTTTTAGTCGACTGTATTATTTTTTGCTGTGCAGAGATAAAAATTATGAATATAGAATCAGGGAATGTAGCTGTAGCGCGGACGGGCAAGCACTCAGGCACGGCGTGAGCAGTGCCGTGAGCACGGTCAATGGTTCCAAGCCGAGGTTGGCGTGGCACGCATCTCAAAGAGGAGTGGAAGTTTCTGCCCCCACTCAACTTCCATGAGTGTCCCGCAGACCAGGCCACGGTAAACGTTAACTGCGGCAACTAGTGTCTGCTTAGTTGCTCAAACCGCAAAAATCACGGTCAGGTTGGGCACATTGCTGCATGGCGTTTTGCCCGGCAGTGCCAACAACAAAATCAAAACTAAGGCCGATCTGTTGTAGATCCGTCTTGGTGGCTTACCCGCACTTTGCGCATTCCGGCGCCAAACAAAAAGAACTAGCCACTGGGTTCAAGCGAATCAGACATGCAGTGCACAAGAAGAGGTCCAGGCATCATGTCAATTTCCTGACACAGAAAAGGAATCACTTTTGCTGCGCTCACCATGCGACGGTGTGTGCTGCATCAGGCCATGAAAGACAAGCGACCAGAGTAAAATTGACAGGCGAGCTGGTTAAACAAAAGAGCTCATGCCAAAACCCTGCAGCGCCAAAGTGAGAAGTTGCTTGACATGCCACCCCGATTGCCCAATAGGCTGCAAATAAACTTGCAAACAGGCTGAGGATCAGCCATATTGAGTCAGCCACGTTGGCATGGAAAGTCTTCAGCCAGCGCTTGAAACGTCACATAGCGTCACCACATGGTCACTGATGCCACCCACATAGCTGAGGTCGTGCCCCAAGGTCACCATGAAGGGCCAAATCAAACAAGGCTTCAGCAAATGTCTGACCTCCACCGTTCTCAGCCATGAAGCAAACGAGGGTACCACGCTCGTAGAAGATCAAAGTCATGCGAGCAATGCCATAGCAAGTGTGCACAGTGTGCATCCGCATTACATTTGATCCTGTCATTGGCCCCCACCACCGGCATGGGAATCATATCTAGGCTCCAGGGTATCCAGGGCATCCAGAGGTCCGAACATGGCGTTTTAACGATCTCCCGAGATTCAGCCGACACAGCCGCACTCCTGGTAAGACTCGGGCCCACGGCTAGGGAATGTAGCTGTAAAACAAGAAGCCATCGATGTTTTGATCGTTTGTACGACCTATAATTGGGGATGGACTAAACTATCCTTACATCTACACACACACATATATATATAGATGTAATTCACCAAGAAAAACATGTAGTATGCGAACATCATAGAATGTAACGGTTTATCATTAAGATGTATATATATATATATGGGTAAATTATAATATTTCACTAACCTGAATTAAGGCCATTTGGGGATGATTTCCCTTAATAACCATGATTCCAGTGAGGTCGCAGTGAGGTCGTTATAATTTACCCATACATATATATATATATATCACCATAGTCTATGAACATCTTTCAACCAAAATCACATGTCTTCAGTTTTTCATCAATATGTATAGGACAATTATCAAAATGACATGTATCTTTCAAATGATCACATCAAACATTATATCCCAAATCTTCAAACATCCCGCGGAAATGGGTCAAAACGATGTCAAAACGTGGGGTTTGCTGAAGATGATTTGTTATTTTCCCTGGGAAATCCACTACTTAAAGGGAATCAAAAAAGAGACTATGTCTGATTAAGTTTGGAGGTGTCGGAAAATTATTTAACCACCGATCACCAATGATATTTTCATACAATGATGAATAGAATGTGCAGGATGGGGTCTCCAAACGTAATGTGAATGTTGGTTTATGGGGCCCCATCTAAATATAGCTATTTAAGCGTATCATACACCAACTTGTTATGAAATAGCTATGTTCTCCAACTTAGCGTTCACGAACTGGGGCCCCACCCTGTACCTCTATCACAACTATCCCTGTTAACCACCAGTTCAACCACCAGTTTAATCACCAATGGAGATATCTAGTATTTCGAGTATCCTATATTTCGATATTTTCATACAAATCCCAGCAATTCCTAGTTAAATTCGATATTTCTGGTGGGAATATCCTATTTTTCCCCTAAATCTCCCAGCACGCCCCAGGAGTTGCGCGAACCGCGCATTGGGCTGCACGGGGTCTCGAATGCCGCGCCACGGGGATTGCTCATGACCTCCAACAGGTGCGGAAACAACGACGAAACGCCGACAAAACAACGGGGAGTTTTACGACGAAAATGGGCACCCTGTGGTAAACTAATATGGCTATGGAAAATCGCAGATTTTAATAGGTAATTCAATCCGAACTAAATGGTCCATTGTCCATAGCTATGTTAGTTTATTTTTTGGGTAGTCTGTGGTAAATTAACATTATTAGTATATATACCTCTGGATATAATTTTGTATATATATATATGATTAAATTTTCATTGGGATGACATTTAGTCAATTAGGTGGAAGTTTGGGCTAAACATTGGGTGTTTTTTTCCACGGAAAATGGTGATAATTATCATCCCAAAATTAACGCAGACCCTGATTTTATAACCAATTTTTAGTGGTTTCACCACTAATCTTCCAACCCCGATGACTGCCAGGGTTAATTTACCAGAGAGTAAATCATCTATAAATGAAACCATCTATGTATTTAATGGTAGGAACGAAAAATGTTGGATAACTATGGAAAATCACCATGTATAATAGGATATAATATGTAGGTAAATCACCGAACTAAATGGGCTATTTTTAATCATCTGGGAATAGTTTTAAATGGGTGTTACCCTCCAGCAAACGAACATAGCTATACACAATCACTATTTAGTTCGATGATTCACTTTTTAAAAATTGCGATTTTCCAGTTCGCTATGTTAGTTTACCAGAGGGTACATATGGGACATATGTTTTTTCTTCTGGAATTTGAGTGTGGAAAATGGTTTGTTTTTTGTTTTCCAAGCATGAAAAGGTGGTCTCTTTCTGGATTGTTCTAGTGACAAGTTGAATTACCATGGAACCTTTTAAAACGATGGAATTCAAATCCATGGAACCAAGTTGGTACTTCATATCCATCGTTCAACTTGGTAATTCACCAACAATAAAATCCATTGAATCCTATTAACCATGGAACATGGGATTCAACATGTGATTTTCAACGATGGATTAATGAAGTCAATGTTGGGGATTTCACCAAAGAAAAGCGCGCTGAAGAAATCCATGGACAAGCCGCCGCATAATTGTTTTTTTGAGATTGAACCAACCAAGCCATGGGAAACCCATAGGGATTGGGCATCAAATAGTGAGATGTTGCACCATCAAATGGGTAAATATTGGCCATGAGGACATGATTGGTTGACAGTTGGTTGGTTATCAAATAGTGGATTGTACCACCTGGCTAAGAAAAGGTATAGTTCTACCCCAGAATGGAATGAGTGGGATACATGTTAGGCAACCTGATTTTCATGGGATGGGATAGGGGTATTTTTCATCACTCATATGAACCATTCATGAGCCATTTGCCGGGGATTTGTTATTTATTTAAGTATCCAAGAATTGGGGTTTATATTCGGATTTATCATGGGTTGAACCATGGCAAGCAAAAAAGTGGTATCTCAAACAGTATCTCAAACACAACATTTTGCCATTCAGAATCCAGTACCCATCATGCGTATTCAAGTATGATTGAAGATATCCCGAAATATGAAGATATCCCGAAAATAAGATATTTTCTTGCTTTGGATATCCAAAATCCAGTACCCATCATTGGATAAACCAACCTGCTGCGTGAAGATCTCCCGAAATCGCAGCAGAAGCCGATTGATTTTGGCGCAAACCAGATCCACGATCCACTGATCTGATGCAAAAATTCGATGACCAGAATCATCCGTTCTGCTCGTAGATGCGAAGAAAAACGAAGGTATTGTTTAACTGGAAAGACCCATAGATGTAATTCAACATAGCTATGACAAATAGCCATTTTCAAAAGGTAAATCATCGAAGTAAATTCTATCAATGGTCCCATCTTCCACTGAAGACGGTTAAGATTTTTGGAAAATTTTGTCCTTATAGGGGGGCGCATATGGCAACTTACCGAGGGGTCTGTAAATCCCAAAACGGAGATGTTTTTTCGAAAAAGCCCATCATTTCCCAGCCTTTATCTCAGACCTCTCCCATATTTTCCACAGCCACCCTTCGGTAATCAAATATGGCAAGCTGGGAAATCGCCCTGTAGATGGTCGTTGAAATGGGAAAACTGTCCACAAATGGGGGAGTTCTCCAGCAAGCCATGTTTGATTGCCAGAGGCCACAGCCATTGGTTGGAAATTCCCATTCATATTCCATTCATATCAAATGAATATTCCATGGATTTTCCATGAGGTTGCAATGTTATGATTACCGGAGGGTATAATAGTATATTCCCATGGATGTGGGTAAAACAATGTCATAAACCCACAGTCATCACCATTTTTATAGGTGGTACAAACCATTCCCAGTCATGGTTGGTTTATGGCATTGTTTTACCCACATTATACATATTTACAGTTGACTTACATATTAACAATGGTGGATCTTTCCATAGTTTTTTTGTATGTTTAGAGGGTAACCACGTTATTTTACCATGGTATACCCAACATTCCCATTACATCCACCATGATGTCACCGAAACGGGTCACCTTGACGCCAGGGCATGGAAGCCTTCGCAAGCGCGGAAGCCCCGCGAGGCCGCTTCGCGCGCACTCGGTCGATTGTGGAAAAGATCCTGGTTCTTATCTAAGTCTCACTTTTTCCATGTAAAAAATGGGCATACTTTGGGGTGTACCCTGTAGGATTCACATAATATATATATATATACATACACATTACATATATATATATGTATGTGTATTATATATATATATATTATAAATAAGTAACTAAAAAACTAAATAAATAAATGCATATATATATATACATATGTATATATATATGTACATATATACACGTATATCTATACATGTTTTTGTGTGTATAGCTAGTGAATAAGATTCATGGTGTATGTATACATACGAATGATAACTGACAAGTAGTCAATACCATTGATATGTGGTTAATCTCTCAATGTATACCCTCTAGTAATCTACCAGTTTGCTATGGAAATTTGTTCTTTATTTGGATGATTTACCTATTTAAAGTGGCGGTTTTCCAGTTCGCTATGTTAGATTACCAGGAGGGTACATTCGGGCCCCACATCTTCCATCTTGCCATTCTTTAAACATAGCCATGGTTAAGCCATGGCCCATAGAAATAGATGGTTTACCGAGCTTAAAAATGGGTGGATTTTCCATGGCAAACTGTTAAACAACCAGATGGTATGCGATTATCATATACAGTATGTATGTATATACATACATTTACCCTCTGGTAAACTAACATAACTATGGAAAATCACCATTTTTAATGGGTAAATCAACGAACTAAATGGGCCATTTTCAATAGCTATGTTAAATCACCAGAGGGTACATACATTTATACCATGGTATTTCTTTTATCTGGCAAAAAGGGATGTTTTCTTTCGCATGGACTTGACGAAGGGTTTCTCCAGGGCTGTCCTTTTCCCAAGGGTTATCCCGTCTTCACAACCTCTTGAGGCAAGAGTTTGGCTAGTCCAAGAATGTGGTATCCCCCCAAAGTAACGTAGTTTGAGAGGGAACATTATGATCAACCCATGGATTTTAAGGGTATAACTCCCATTTTGCAGGGGTTGGTAACTGTCCCATTTTGGGAATATTGGACATCACCTTATAGTAGCCATTATAGACTATATACCTAATGGTTGGGTGATGTTCAATGGGGACATTTAATGACCCATGTTTTGCCCAGAATTGGTTGAACACATCTACAGGAACGTCCGAAATGAGCAATTTTCGAAGGGTTTCAAGCTTCAACATTTCCAAAGCATGGAATTTTCATCACGAGATTCAATGGTTTGATCATACCACGACTGCCAGGCTTTGTTCATCACACCAGAGGTGGGTAGCTACCGAGCCAACCTAGTGCAACCCGTCTCTGGGAGACTCTGGGAGGGCCATGTTGAATGATGGTGATCTCAATGTTCTGAAAAATGGTGATTTGAATCACCAGAAATGGCGATTGTTCATGATTTTTGCTGGTAAAGCTGGGGATCTAAAGGAGAAATATGATGGTTTGATATGAGGGATTCTATGTTTTCTTGACCCATAACTGGGGTGAAGATCCTCTTCAAAGCGGAAGTTTCCAACCCTTGATAAAATGGTGAAGCTAATAACTTCTATGTTTATGATCCCGTGAAGACTGAGATTGTTTTTGTTGGGAAGGGACGAATCGGCCATTATAATCGATTATATATATAATAATAACCATTAATCACCTTTATGAAAATCATTGTTAGAGCCACTGTTAGCCATTAGTATCTATTTAAGACTGAGGCTGTAAAAATTGTAAACATGGTTGTGAAGGGATTACCCTCCAGTCATCAAACATACGTAGCTTGCTAGAAAACCCATCAGTTCTGTCAATGATTTTCCCAGCTATAAACCTTGAGTCAGCCATGTTTGATGACACAAGATGGTATATTCCAGTTATATTCCCATGAGGTTCCCTATATGTATATATGTATATGTCACCATTCGTGTTGGCCGGCTATATATCCCACTACCATTGTATCACCATGGTTTATGGATTACAAAACCATGGTTTCTGGTCAAGTTATTTCTGAACCATGTTTTGTTGACCATAGCCCCATAGCCATTATTAAGTATTAGAAAATCACCATTATTACGCACTATCAACCAGTATTAACCACTATTCACCACTACCGGTATGTAGCCACTATCAACCATCATTAACCATTACCATCCAGTAAATTAACATAGACCCTGGCAGATGGGGGTTGGAAGACAAGTTTCAAATAGAAATTCATTGTTTTCAGGGTCAACAAGTTAATTTACCAGAGGGTAACCACTATTAACAACTATTATTAACCACTATCAACCAGCACTAGCCATATTTTTCACCATCCTTTTTTTTGGGGTTCGACTTTTTCACCGACTGCCGAGGCACCCGGTGTTAAATCCACATCCGCCGTTGCCAATGCCCAGCTGAAAGGCCTGGTGAAGGAAAATCCAATGGGGGATAGGATGGGATTTAACATAATATGTGTGTGTGTATATATATATATATGTATGTCATAATATAAAATCTAATAATATGATATGATATGATATGATATGATATTGTATAAATCATTATATATATATATAAGCTCCAGAGATCGAAGTATTGTGGGAACTTTGGGGATATTATTTCATGAGGATTTTCAACAATAATATGGGGATTTATTACTTGGGATATGCTGGTGGAACAAACCAAAATAGCAAATGAAGTTTTGGGACCGTTTTTTTAGCCTACTGAAAGGGGGAACTTGATAAGTGGTAATGGAAAATCCCTGAACCAAATGGAGGTTTATAGCTGGGAAAATCATCGACGTGACTGGTGGATTTTGCAGCCCCGTTTGATTACTGGAGGGTAACTTTTCCTACCACTTGACACCTCATCAGTTTTTCTGGAAGTGGGGAGGAAACCAAAAATTTCATTTTTCCCCAACAGCGTAAGCTAATGGGGTCTTCAGCCCAGAATAGCTCCGGTGTGCACTGGTGCAGGCGCCGGGTCAGGTTCAACGAGGTTCCGGAAAAGGTTCCGAAGGTTCCGGAGAAGGTCTGGGAGGCTTTGGTGCAGAGCCAGGTCAGGTTCAACAGGGTTCCGGAGAAAGTCTCCGGAAGGGGTGGGAGGCTTTGGTGCAGAGCCAGGTTAGGTTTAGCAGTTTAGCAGGGTTCCGGAGAAGGTTCCAGAATGTTCCAGAGAAGGTTCAGCTGAGGTGTTTTCAGCGGTTGGCTTCGCAGTTCAGCGGTTGGCTTCGCAGCACGCTTCAGAAAGATTTGTAAAAATAAAACGTCGCGGCTGTTGGGGATACTACAGAAGCTTATTTTTTTTGGCCCCATTTACCAACTCTTTTGCACTTCACCTGGGTCGGGGGAAGGGACCGCCACTGGTGAACAACTGGATCTCCGTGTTCGGTGCTTGGTGATCCTCCTGGGTGTTTTGGACCCTTGGATGTGGCAGGACTCTTAAATCCGATAAACCAAAGTGATGGATTGCCAGCTGTTACCAGCCTTGATGCAGATCCAACTTAATTTAGGCAACTAGACTGTATCAATCCTCTCTGGAGGTTTCCTGAAATGGGGCTACCCCAAAATTGGATGGTTTATAGTGGAAACTCCTAAAAAAATGGATGATGACTGGGGGTACCTCCATTTTAGGAAACCTCCATGTAGGCTGGAAAACCCGCCAAGCGACTTTGACAATTTGATTCACTGGGCTTCCGTTTCTGCAGGAGCGAGGCTGTTTCACTGATGAGCCAAAACTGGGCATCATTTGGGATGAGCATTCCGCAGAAAATCCGAGAAAATATGAGGCACTGCAACTGGAACTGTTGGGTTTGATGGGTCAACAGCCCAGAGGTTTTCTCGCTGTGAAATTTGGAAATTTGGCACAAGGTCAGCTTCTTGCATCAGTTTGGCCCGAAAAAAAATGGGAGCTACTGCTGATGGGAGTCCCCAAACTGGGGGATAACTTATGCCGCTTAAGGCTGACAGGAAAGCATCGTTTTAGCGTAATTTTTTTCAGCATCTCCTCTCACAGCGCACATCCCTGACAACCCTAGAGTTTTACATTCTAAAAAACTGACCAATAGATTGTGATTCAAAACTTCAAAACAGCAATCTTTGACTCATCATTTTTGAGTTTTTGGATCAGGATTTGGTGGAAAGGAAGGTTTTGGACTCACCTTGCGAGCAGCACAGCTGTCAAAATCCTCAGCTATGGATCAGCCGGGATCCCAATTCCTTGAGAGCGAGCCCGGCGCTTTAAACATCTCCCAAAAATCGAGTACCCTGTAGATAATTTACCATTTGGAAAATTGTGATTTTCCAGTTCGCAAAGTGTTGGTTGGAGGTTGGTTTACGGGATTTATCCTATTTTAGTTCGCATCATTTCCCCATAGTCCTATTGCTGGCTAAATCTTGTTAAATCCCAGTAGATCCCATTGTTGTTGGCATCAAATCATCCCTAAAATCCCTGTATGTTTGGGGCACCATTACAAGGAAAACTCTACGGCATCATTTCAATGGGAATTTCAGGACCCTGAAATGGAGCCACTGTATCATACACGGCCATATTTTGTGTATTCCCTTCCATAGGCGTTACATAGGCCTTGTATATGGTAGGTACCTCCATTTTCGGCACCTGCCATTGATCACTGAGGTTTTTAACTCCCTGACCCGGCTATGTGGAAGGTTGTGATGTGGGGAGCCGTTGTTGGTATGTGGTCAATGAGAACTGGGTTAGTTCACCCAGTTCTATATTGATCTATACTATGTTGTATATATATAATAGTAAATAAGAATGATATTTATTGATACTAAGAATATTGACGATAACAATATTAACGATAGTAGCAATAATGCTTGTAGTTGTAGATGTAGATGTAGATGTAGATGTAGATGTAGTAGTAGTAGTAGTAGTTGTTGTTGTTGTTAAATTGGAGAACATAATAGGAATGAAAATAGTAATAATAGTAGTAGAAATAGTAGTAATAATAGTAATAATAACAGAAATAATAATAGTAATATGTAGATATAGTATAGATAGTTTACGCAGTTCTAAAAGGTACAATATATATTATAAGATTACATACATGCATGCATGCATGCATGCATGCATATATACATTCATGCAGACAGACAGACAGACATAGATACATAGATACATAGATACATAGATACATCGATACATAGATACATAGATACATAGATACATAGATAGATAGATAGATCGATAGATCGATAGATCGATAGATCGATAGATCGATAGATCGATAGATCGATAGATCGATAGATCGATAGATCGATAGATCGATAGATCGATAGATAGATAGATAGATAGAAACATACATACATACAAACACATACACACATACCAACATACCAACATACAAACAAACAAACAAACAAACAAACAAGCAAACAAACAAACAAACAAACAACCAAACAAACAACACAAACAACACAAACAACACAAACAACACAAACAACACAAACAACACAAACAACACAAACAACACAAACAACACAAACAACACAAACAACACAAACAACACAAACAACACAAACAACACAAACAACACAAACAACACAAACAACACACACACAACACACACAACACAAACAACACAAACAACACAAACAACACAAACAACACAAACAACACAAACAACACAAACAACACAAACAACACAAACAACACAAACAACACAAACAACACAAACAACACAAACAACACAAACAACACAAACAACACAAACAACACAAACAACACACACAACACAAACAACACAAACAACACAAACAACACAAACAACACAAACAACACAAACAACACAAACAACACAAACAACACAAACAACACAAACAACACACACACAACACACACAACACAAACAACACAAACAACACAAACAACACAAACAACACAAACAACACAAACAACACAAACAACACAAACAACACAAACAACACAAACAACACAAACAACACAAACAACACAAACAACACAAACAACACAAACAACACAAACAACACAAACAACACAAACAACACAAACAACACAAACAAACAAACAAACAAACAACACAAACAAACATACAAACATACAAACATACAAACATACAAACAAACAAACAAACAAACATACATACATACATACATACATACATAATATGGGATGTTGACCCCAGTGAAATAAAGGTTGCCAACCACTTCCTGAGTGTCATGCCCTGTGTGTTACATGTGGGTTACACGTGGGTTACCCTTCGGTAATTTGTTAACTATGGACTATGGACCATCACCACTTAAATAGGTAAAATCAATTTGTAAACGGGCCATTTTCAATAGCTACGTTAAATTCCCGGAGGGTAGCAAGTGAAAGGCACAGATTCTGTCTCAGTCCTCGGCTCAAAGAATTTTTCGTGCCTCGCGGTGTGAGATTCCAAGGGGGACTTACTCCAGCGCGAAATCGTTTCAGCTATGGGTCTGGGGAAGATCCTTGACGACAATGTGCTTGCAATGGCATTGCCATCTGGACCCCCACCATCCCTGCGAAAGGACGGGAAAAAACCACATAAGGTCATGCCAGTTGAGGATGGCACGGGTAGCGGTAGCAGTATCCTCAACAGTATTGGCACTCCAGTGGAATCCCGATCCTTTCAAGGCGTGGGCGGGTCTGTCTACTGGTCATTTGTTACGGTTTGCGAACAGCAAAATCATGTTTTGTAGTAGGTACATCATCATTTTCATCATATGTAAATGGGCCATTTCCATAGCTACTGTTAAATAATCAAAGGGTAAGAATGGGGGATGGCTCCCCAGGAAAATGACGAGAGTGACCATGGAATTTCAAGGGCAGCCGATTTTTAAGACAAATCAACCTGTAGGTTGATGCTTGGAGTGGGGTGAAATACGGATTCTTTGGACTTTGGAATTATGATAAATTATCATCCATGACAAAAACCGAATAGTTCCATAGGATACTCAGACTCAGAATCCAATAGTTACATTGGAATCCCATCTTTAGGTCCCGCAATGTGTTGATCTACAGGACAATTCACCGGATCAACAACTCTGCAAAATTGACTCATGATTTTCTTTTCGAAAAACCTTACACATTTAAATCCATTTACCCTCTGGTAATTTGTTACAAAAAGCTATGGAAAATCACCGTTTTTAATGGGTAAATCCACTATAAATGGCAATTTTCAATAGCTATGTGGCTGTTTACCAGAGGGTAACATGCTAAACCCCGTCTCAAAAACACATCCCAAAACATGATGAAAAGAACGCCTGGAGGGAGGACTGCGCTCTTCCCTGTAAAATACAGGATTTTATTCATCAACCATGTTCGATTTAAGTGTTAAACAACTTCAAAGACACTGGAGGTGCGCCTCAAAATGAAATTTGTGTTTTTTTCGTTGTAGCCAAACGCTGACTTTGGCGAACATTGGTTTTCGAAAACTTGTGCCCCAAACACATTCATCCGCTGCCTTTTTTCCACTTCTCGCTTGATCACTTCCAGTAGCCGGATCTTTTGCTTGACCGACTTCTTTTGGTTGACCGATTTCCAGTAGCACCAAGAACGTGTTAGATATTGTAACATAGAAAAACACCTGCCAAGAAAAGAAGGCCACAAAACCTTATTGGTTCCCCACCCCCACCCGAAACCCTGCCCCCCCAGCCACATCAAGTTCACGTGACAACAGTGCGGTCGCCTGAAAAGCGATGTCCAGCCTCTTTGAGTGCGATGATTTTCCCATTTCTTTTGTGTCGTAAGCAGCCCATTTTGGGCCCCAGTTCTCCCATCTTCCATTCATATTCCGTTCATTTTCAATGAATATTCCAGAAAATATCACCATTAGCTACGGAAAACCATTTCAAAAGAAAACCATGTTCAATGAATATTCCATTTTTTATCACCATTAAAAACTATATGGAAAGCCTAATGGCGAAAACTTCTAACATCGGAAAAAAAAATCCTGGGCGACTCAGGTGGTTCACAGATGTCCTCTGGTCGAAATCGTCACGAGCGCGTGATCCGCCGCATTTGCCTCAGAGCGTTTTTGCGGATCAATGGCTTCAGCACCCTGGCTTTTACCGATGATTTTAAGGATGATTTTAATGGTGTTTTAATGGTGTTTTATATGGATTTAGGATGATTTAGTGTAATTTTCTAGGGATTCAATGAGACGTTTTTTCGTTTTTTTGTGGCATCCAAAAAGGAATTTAGGGATATTTTATAGGGATTTAACTGGACTTTAAAGCGATTTATTGGGATTTAAACAGATTTAATTAATGGATTTCAAAGGGGTTTCATGGGATTTTATAAGGATTGAATTGGGCTTTATACGGATTTAGTGGGGTTTGATAGGGGTTTTATGGGAAATCCCGGTACCAAGTAGCCTTAATAGTTCACTGGGAAAATCATCGAACCTTTCGTGGGGTATTTCATGGTGAAGCAACAGAAATGATGGACCAGTAGGATTTGATACGTATTTCACCCACAATGATACCTCACCAGTACCCTCTGGTTATGACTAACAGTTCGCCATGGAAAGATCCACCCATTTTTAAGAACGGTAAACCATCTATTTCGATATGGGCCATGGCTTAACCATGGCTATGTTAGTCATAACCAGAGGGTAAATGGGTGCGAGAATGGGGATATTTCAAGGGAAAATCGTCGAAAAAACTCACTCCTGGGATGGACACATTGAATCCTCTGGTGTCAGTTCCGCTTTGCGATTTCTGCTCCCATCATGAAACATTAGCATTTAAGTGAGAAACGTCTCGAACTAAATGGGTATCCTAAGCTGTTTTTTTGGTACCATGTTTTTTTCTTTTCTGAAGTTCAATGCGGGCAAATTCCGAGGAATCTCCACGTTTCTGGCCTATTTATGGGTCTGAACGCCTGAGAATTGACCACCCAAATGGCGACGTTTTTGCTGGGAAAAAATATTATTCATCATTGGATTCGATGTACCCAATTTCCGACAAATCAATATGCCATTTTTGGGTTCATCATTGTTTCTTCGACCCCATTCCTTGAAGATGCCGTATCACAATGTTTTTTGTTAACTGGTTAGTAAGCGAAACTTTCGATGAAATCTGCTAATCCGAAAATTTGCCCATCCTAAAGTCTGTCGATCCTGGGAAAAATCTTTGGGTCATTGGGGCCCTGGTCTCGAACCTCATTGGGAAATTCCAGGAGAGGGAGACGCTCATTCGGCACGGCCGGGTGGCTGCTTCTTCAGGACTGGGCAGCTGAGAGTTGGGAGTTGATGAGATGATGTTCTTCATTACCCGTTACCGGTAAGAATCAAGCAACTAAGCAACCGTCAAGCAAGAAAGTGTTCTCTAATTTTTGGTGCTGTTTCAGGCAACATTCACCGATGGTTGAGTCACGCATAAAATGACTAATCCATAGGGGTTATGCATGGTTCCCTTGGTAATCAAACATAGCAACATGGGGCCCCGAACTCTACATGGATTCGCCAGGAGTGATTGGAGGATCTTTAAGGATTTCCGAATCAAAGCATCTACCTGAGGTTTCCTAAAATGGGAGTTTCCAGGGAAACTCCGGAAAAAAAAATGGATGAGAACTGGGGTTACAGTACCCCAACATTTCAGGAAACCACGGTCAATACTTTAGGACACCTTTTGCATCATGGGATGATTTTCTCCTGACCACTGGTATCCCCAAGCGAGGTGTAAACTATCATTTTCTCACAGAGGTTAGGTCTGGGGGAATTGCCCGATTTCTGGGCTAACCCCAACTACTATTGAATATTGAGAAACCAATTCTAATATGGTGAATAGTCCCCAGTCTGTTTTTGGCTAATCCCATTTCTGGTCATGCTTTTTGACTTAATTTCATTGATTCATGTTGCACATGTTCACCTGAAACAGTGTTTGTGTGATGATTCCCGCATATTCCCGCACTGTTTATTCATCAGACATGGATCAACACCTCTTCTGGGTGACCCCTGAAGTCCCCCGGGTTGTCAACCTTCATCCAGTCGCCAGGAGAGAAAGTGTTTGTCCGATTCACGTCGCTGCCATGAAGGGAGATTATGATGTCCTGGTGATGCTCGTGGAGGAAGGCGCAGATCCCGAGAAAGAAACTTCCAGGGGCCGCACTCCGATGGACTGTGCTCTCGCTGGAGATGTCTGCGGTTCAAACCAAAAGACGGTGAAGCTTCTACAGCGCGCGCTCAGAAAGTGACGGCGAACGAGGCTGACGGTGACCAGCTGATGGGATTTTGCGGCACCCAAAGGGTCAAGACTCTTTTTTTGAGCCCACTAGATCGAAAGCTAACAAATTGGGAAATTTCATCCGAAATTTCAACTTTCCATTGTGCCTCAAAGTGAAGACTTTGAGAACTTCCTTTTGACTTCATGACCGAACGATTTTTCCCCAAAGTGAAGACTTTGAGAACTTTTTGTCGTTCGGAACTCATGGCCTTTTGACAGCAGACACGAGTCTATCGTCTTTCCCACGGGGTGATCCTGCAACCTGCATCACCATACGTGCAATCCCTTTTCTGGGCACTAGGCCTTGAAATTCATTTGATAGTTGCGCAGACTTTCCCGGTTTGCTTGAAAACAACCTCTGCTGCCGCCCGCAGCCTCTGGATTTGGAGATAAGAGGGGGAACCTATCTCCAAAAAGGGATGACGATCGCAGTTGAGTCACACATGCCTCTACCTATAAATAAATAAATAAATAATAAATAAATAAATAAATAATAATATATATATACACACACACACACACGGAGAAACACACTATTCTAGTGCCTATGCATATATATATATATACATATATATATACATATACATATATATATATGTATATATATATATATTTGTCTGTCACATATTGGGAGGTGTTTCTCAAGCCAGGCCGAAACGAGCCACACGCCCAGGTACGGGTGCCAGATGGGGGTTTCCAAGCCATGTATGTCGTCACCATGGGTTTCAACACAAAGTCATGGTCTAATGACTGGATGATTTGGGGCCACTTTAGGAAACATCTGGATTACGTCAGATTGTGAATAGAAATTACAACAAAAAACCCGCAGTAACTGTGATTTTTCTATGAAAATCCCAGCGTATATCAACGACGCTAGTTATATAAATTATATAGGATATTCTCATGGATTGAGTATGGTTATCGGAGTGGATTATGGGGTGATGATATGGTGATTGCAGTAATCAGTGATTTCATGGACGAGAAATTCATGCTTGGCAAAATGGCTTATCATTCCAATGGCTGAGGTCTTCCATGCTTTTCGATGGCCATACATTTACGGTATACCGTATAGCCCTATGGATTATCCAGATGGCTTAGACCAAAGTGACTGATATGGTAAAACGGGATGAAGCACCCGCCATTGGGATGGTTTTGATGGTTTTTGGTTTTGGTTTTACCGCATTTTTTAAAAAATATCTATGCATGTTATTCTAGTTCTGGGTTCCAAGACCAGCTGGATTCTCTCGGCGTCACCTGACATCGCAATGTAAAGGAATCCCAATCCTTGAGAATCCAGAAGTTGAGAACAGATTTTCCCAATTTTTTAAATAATGACGGGAACTGGGATAGACTCCACTTAAAAAAGAGACTGCCCATTGCTGTTGGTTTTTGGGAACACTTACGCATTTCACCAACCATTTGTGATTCATTCTAATTGTTACTATCATTGTCAGTATTTTTTTTATGATTATGAATATTTGTTATGATTATGACATATTATTATGACTATTTATAGAAAATGTATCACGCTGTATATATCACCATACACCCCTGCATGTTGACAGCTGTGCTCTTGTCTTTTGTATAGCAGTTCAATCATGTACGTCATTGACATTTGGCAATCTTGTTACAGTTCCCTTAGAGGTTGTGGGGTTCACCTATTCAACAGGTTAATAGCCTCAGGCTCAGAGTCAAAGTCTTGCGTTCTTCGGTCACTCTGCACATTGCCATCCCTTTGCCTGGACTTGGCCACTGCTAGCGTTCGATTTGCTGCTAGCCTCTGTCCATTCCAGGCGTTTGGTGTAAGTGAAGCAAAGTCCGCAGTTGATCACGACTGCCAAGGAGTGTTTGCACTGACCAAAATTCATCCCTGTTTGGCCAGCTTCCATATCGTGTGAGCTTGGTTTCCTCGGTGCTAGAGTCGAGTCCCTAGCGTGGACCCACAAGTGACCCAGAGAGCGGAGCCACTCAAAGAGTCGTTGGCTTGTGCTTAGATTCGCGGCCCTGAAGCAAGCAAACTCGAATCGCACTTGTTCAGTGCTCCAAAGAGGGCTTTCTGAATTCTGCTACTATAGACTATAGACTATAGAGATAGCTTAGTTGGCATTCTGCCATTGATCCCCCCAAGTTTGCAGAGTGAAGACAAGCAGCGGACCCTGGACTCCATGATCCACTGGAGTCATGACATCCATTTTCTCAGATGAACCAACTTGGTGCCCTATTCAGGAGGAATGAGACGTAACAAAAAACTCGTTGATGGAGTGTCATTCCAAAGAAAAAACAGCTAGCTGCTAAGCTAACCCTTGGAATGTTTACAAGGCGACACGCAACATGTCCACCTTCATGCATGTGACGGTATCGCATTAAAGATGTGGAATAGACTGTTGTTCAGAGTTGATACTTGCTTGAGATCATACATGTTAAAGGTGTGTTCCTGAAATCGTCATCAAGTGCGGTGCAGCAGTTGGCCCGTTATCAAAGCTGACCATCGTGTCCACAGTGCCTGCCCCCAGGGTGTCCGGAGGCATGTGATTAAAACTGATTAAGCCCCGAGTTCAAAAAAAGTGAACCAGTGAACCCGAGTTCTTTGTGTTGTTTCAAATGATGAATAACATTTTGATGAAATCCCAGAAAGCCCCACTCAAACGGCCTTTAATTCCCATGGCTCAGATACCGAGTCACTGTCATCAGGCACATCCCTCCGCCCTTCAAGGTCTTCCAGGAGGACAGCGATGGCGGGCAGCTGAGCGCAGTCGTGGGTCAGATCTGTTGTTTCTTTGGCCATAAAACAAGAGATGCAACCCGAAAGCATGGTTTCGGAGTAGCCAACAATGGTTATCCTCTGGTAAACTAACAGTTTGCTATTGAAAATTGCCATTTATAGTGGATTTAGCCATAAAACATGGTGATTTTCCATGGTTATGTAAACGTTTACCGGAGGGTAGCAATTTCTATTGATGGTTCATAATGGCTAAGATTCTGTGGATTCTTATGGGATTAGTAATCGTGGGATTGGCCGCCAATCTACCGGTGAAGGAGTTCAAAACACCATCCACAGTATAACCAGCTGGGATTTAATCAATGGCCATGTCAGGCACCTAAATTGGAGGTACCCAAATTGGAGGTACCTAAATTGGAGGTACCTGCCATCTACAAGGCTTTTTGGGCGGTTTTTTCGGGGATATGCCCCAAACATATGGCCAAACACATGGAAGGAAGAGTGCCTCTTTTATGGGTCATAAAAACATTTATAGCTTTACGTAAGAAGAATGCGGGTTTCAACCATCAAGTTATGTGTCACTGTTTGCCAATGATCATAGGGATTGAAGTGACAGCCGAATGGTTGTTCAACCTGGGATGAAATTATAATGTCAACCCCGGATTTTGCTAAACCATGGTTTATTATATAATTAGGGGGTACCTTCCAAATAGTCACAATTAATGGTACATAAATGGGACCCTCCCAATTAAACACGTTGAGGTTTTGGCTTAGGTGCCCCTCGCTTCAGCACAGCCTAGCCATGGAAAACCCATGGATAACCCCCAGGACTTGATTGACATTGACAGATGTAGCGTTCAGCCAGCTGGGACACAATGAGAACGTATTCTTTCATAAGTATATTAAAGATATTTAAAGATTACATTCCTGCTTCTTGGCAGAACTTTGAGCCACTTGGTTTTGGTTGCTAAGACTGCTAAGATTGAGACTTTCTGTCTCGAGGTATTGCCACTGAAATTGAGAAATGGGTCTGAAGTACCCGGGTACCCCAAATTTAAGTGCATGATCAGATCAGGTTCAACCGGTTTCTCCATAAACAAAGGCTTACACAGCATTTTCACAGCATTTTCAGTCCAGGATTTCTATCCATTTGCTCAGGTGAAGAAGTGGAAGTGGAAGTAGAAGTCGAAGTCGAGGTGGACGAGGTGAACGGCGCAACGGTGCGGGCGCGGTTTTTTCAGACGCCAGGGCTACTATGAATAGAACCTTCCTATATCTACATATATCGACATATGTATGGCGTGTATATCTATGTGTATATATATACACACATATATTTGCACTTTGTGTGTATATATATATATAAACACGACATGCATGTATGTATATAATGTGCAGATGTGTAAATATATATATATACTTAATTAGTTTATTTATTTATTCATATCTTTATTTATTTTCTTTCGAGATCTGCTAGGAGGCATTGGAGCCACTGGAGCCACCGGAGCCACCTCCGCCGCCGTGGAGGTGCTGCTAGTGACGGTGAGTGACGAAAAAAAGAACCCATTGGGTGGTTGATGATGGGTGAGTGTTAGTTGGCAATAGTGGTTTAATACTTGTTGAATAATGGTTTTATAATTGCTAATAATGATAATGATGAAAAGCGGTCAGTACTAAATGTTTAGTGATGATTGATAATGGCTGATAATGGTTTAATAGGGGTTTAATAGTGATTAAAGTATAGTGGTTCAATTAGTGTTAGTTAGTAACGGCTGATAATGATTAAACGTGGTTTGACAATGGTTAGTAATCGTTGATGATTGGTAAACCGTGTTGCTTTGCAATGTTGCTGAATGATGGCCAATCTGCAATGGTCAATAGTTTTTAATAATGGTTGATAGTGATAAAACCCAGTCGGTCGATGATGGCGAGATGATCATCGCGTAGCAAAGGCCTTGAGGCCCCGAGGTCCCAAGTGGAGAAACATTGGGCTGTTTGGGCATGGGGTACTATTGCTACCATGCGTTTGGATAAGACCCCAAATTGACAATTTGTTGATGGGATATGATGGGATATGAGTTGGCACATTTTGAGTATATTGTTTGAAAACAACATGTTTTTTTCATTTTTGAGAGTTTAAATTATTAAAGGTTTCGAAGTGTCCACCACTGAAGTGTTTGGATCATTCTTGTATACTTTGGCTATGATTTTTCCAGAAGTCGCGGGATGGTGCTCTACAGGATGACTACTTGGAATGGATTCCAACAATTCCCCCATGGTAAATCAAATTTTTCAAAGAAATCAAACCTGAAGGCAACGGATTGGTACGGACAGGATGATGATGATGATGATGATGATGAGTAGGAGGATGAAGAAGAGGACGAGGACGCGGACGAGGACGAAGACGAAGATGAGGAGGATGACGATGATACTGATGATGATGGTCGGATGAATATCTTCGTCGTCCTCCTCGTCATTATAGCCGTGGTCGTCGTCATCATCGTCATCATCGTCATCATCATGATCATCGCCATCATCGCCATCATCGTCATCATCGTCATCATCGTCATCATCGTCATCATTATTATCATCATCATTTTAGTAGTCTCAGCAACAGTATCACTTTCATTGCCAGTTTCATCTTCATCATCATCATCATCATCCTCATCCTCATCCTCCTCCTCCTCCTCATCATCATCACCATCATCATCATCATCATCATCATCTTCTTTTTCTTCAGAATAAAACGACCCCGATGTCAACCATAAAGACCACAGCTTCGCCTTCACGTTCAAAGCTGATGCGTTCGGCCCAGTGCAAGGCAGAAGGACACGCGGCAAGCGCGGCCGACCGCGAAGACTGTGAGCGCAGCCACAGGCGCCACAGGCGCTACAGGCGTGCTGGGATGGTTGGATCGTATGGGAAGATGCTGGGATAACCTGTTTCTGTGGCTAACGGGGAAGATTTTTTCAAGAAAAGGCTAGTTGGGGTTCCGAAAAATTGGAGACAGCGCCACCAAAGACATTGTACACATTGTCGATGCGGCTGGAGAATCAAAGCATGAAATCTTTGGTTTAACTTGATGTGAACCCTTGAACAATATGGATTGTCTTAAAACGGGCTACCCCCAAATCTGCTGGTTCATCATCCCTATTGAAATTCACATGGCCATCCCATTTTTGGGTACACCTCCACATTTTTGAAGGTCCAATTTTTCATTCTTCCCATTTTTCGGTGGATCAACCTTTACCCCTTGAGCAACTGAGGCCAACGACCTACCACAAATCGTTCTTTGGCCAAACGTAGTGCGGTTGAGTTGGCTCAACGTGAGGCCTGCAAGGCGTGGGATTGTTTCTGAGATGTGACTCTTCCGGTGTTTCTGTTCGCCATGGAGGTTTAGTTCGCTGGGAAAATCATGGAACTCAATGGGGAATTTTCCAGCAAAGCATGGAACTCTTCTAGCAAACCACTTTTGATTACCTAATCGGGTAATCGGGTAATCTAACTGAGGATATCAATCAGTAGGAACAAGTTGGTGATACCAACGTGTTCTGCACCATTTACTACCTGAGATGCACCCACGTGGGCGGTGGGCGGAATGGAATGGACGGGGTGGGATTTAAATTAGGGCAGTTCCAATATGAAAATGGGGGTATATTAAGCCCGATTGCTCCAATGGAGATGATAAATCCAGTTAATTTCAAATGGTTTGCCAAAGATTTCATGTAGTTGTTTTATTTTTTGTCAGTTCCAAATGAGGTTATACCAGTAGTACCGCACAAGGCGGTGGCGGAAGTTTCAAAAATAGGAAACCTATAGGAGAGGTTGGCTGTTGTGAGTCACGAATGGCAGAGCGAAGCCACTGATGGACCGACAGGTGGTTGAGGTCTCTTCTCTTTCTCTCTCTTTCTTTCTCTTTCTCTGACTATCTACCTACCTACCTACCTACCTACCTACCTAATTACCTACCTATCTATGTATTTATCTATCTATCTATCTGTCTATCTATCTATCTATCTGTCTATCTATCTATCTAATCTAATCTTACCTTATCTGATCTTACCTTACTATCTATCTATCTATCTATCTTTCTTTCTTTCTTTCTTTTTTCTTTCTTTCTTTCTATCTTTGTATCTATCCATCTTTCTTTCTATCTAATCTATCTAATCTATCTAATCTATCTAATCTATCTAATATATCTAATCTATCTAATCGATCTAATCGATCTAATCGATCTAATCGATCTAATCGATCTAATCGATCTAATCGATCTAATCGATCTAATCGATCTAATCTATCTATCTATCCAATCTATCTATCTATCTAATCTATCTATCTATCTATCTATCTATCCTAATCTAATCTAATCTAATCTATATCTAAATCTAATCTAATCTCATCTAATGTAATCTAATCTAATGTAATCTAATCTAATCTAATCTAATCTATCTATCTCTCTCTCTCATCTAATTACCTATCTATCTGTCAATCGATCTACCTAGCTGCCTCTATCCATCTATCTATCCATCTATCTATCCATCTATCTATCCATCTATCTATCCATCCATCCGTCTATTTATTTATCTTCGTACCCATCTACCTATGTACCTATCCACCCATCTACTTATCCATCCATCCGCTTATCCATCCATCGATCCATCCATCCATCCATCCATCCATCTATCTGACCATCTTACCTATCTATTTGTCCCAAAGCTTTTGACCCCGGCAGATCGCAACGTGACCAGCGTGGAGGATTACCATCAGAAAAGACAAGTACGAAAGCTTGCAAGACCGGAGTCGTCATCGAAGCAAGGGGCCAGGAAAATGGGGACACCGCTGTTTGTTTCGTGCCGTCAGAAAAGACTGACACACACAAGACAAGACCAAACGACATCGGTACGGCAACGGTGTTAGAAAAAACACACACGGAAGGCTCAGCTGCTGGAAAATGAACTGGTCAGAAAAGACACGGTCGGCTGCTGTCACCTGGTCTGGATGATCAAACCCGCGTGCCACGTCGCCACGGAGATCTTGGATGGATAGATAGATAGATAGACAGATAGATAGATCGATAGATCGATAGATCGATAGATCGATAGATCGATAGATAGGTAGATAGGTAGATAGGTAGGTAGATAGATAGATAGATAGAAAAAAGATAGATAGATAGATCGATAGATAGATCGATAGATAGATAGATAGCTAGCTAGATGGATAGATAGATAGATAGATAGATAGATAGGTACATAGATAGATGGATAGATAGATAGATAGATAGATAGATAGATAGATGGATGATAGATAGACAGATAGGATAGGATAGGATAGGGTAGGGTAGGGTAGGGTGGGGTAGGATAGGATAGGATAGGATAGATAGATAGATAGATAGACAGATGGATAGATAGATAGGTAGGTAGGTAGATTGATAGATAGATAGGTAGGTAGATAGATAGATAGAAAGATTAGATAGATAAGACAGATGAGAAAGATAAGATAGGTTTAAACACATAGAGAGACAGATTAGATAGATTAGATAGATTAGACAGATTAGATAGATTAGACAGATTAGATAGATTAGACAGATCAGACATATTAGACAGATCAGACATATTAGACAGATTAGATAGATTAGATGGATTAGATCGATTAGATAGGTTAGATTCAGATAGATAGATTCAGATAGATAGATTCAGATAGATAGATTCAGATAGATAGATTCAGATAGATAGATAGATAGATAGAAAGATAGAGAAATAGATAGATAGATAGATAGATAGATAGATTCAGATAGATAGATAGATAGATAGATAGATAGATTCAGATAGATAGATTCAGATAGATAGATTCAGATAGATAGATTCAGATAGATAGATTCAGATAGATAGATTCAGATAGATAGATTCAGATAGATAGATTCAGATAGATAGATTCAGATAGATAGATTCAGATAGATAGATTCAGATAGATTCAGATAGATTCAGATAGATTCAGATAGATTCAGATAGATTCAGATAGATTCAGATAGATTCAGATAGATTCAGATAGATTCAGATAGATAGATAGATAGATAGGTAGATAGGTAGGTAGGTAGATAGATAGATTGATAAGTAGGTAGGTAGATAGGTAGATAGATAAATAGATACAGCAAACTATATAAGAGTTGCCATGTGCGGATGAGGTTGTGTTGGTGATGTTTGCTGGTGATGGCAATGGATGGATGAATGGGAGCTTCATAATGTGGACACACAAGCAAGGACATGACCTACATACATTCATGACAGAATTCATATACGTTGACATAAGTGTATTCTATACATATATTTAGATATATGTAGATAATATCATGATTGCTTTACCGTGCATGTTTACGTACAGCAGCTGTTTAATGCAAAGATAACACAATATGTGTTGTGGATGCAGAACAGTTTCTGGAGTTTCGTCCCGCGCGCTCTCTTGCGTTCACCTTCATGCTGTTCATATCGTGAAATGTCGAGGCTGCTGTTAGTGTGTCCCCTGTCGGACATGCCAACTGTTGCGCCAGGTAGTGACACAGGAAGAGTCCGTGACTGCCAAGGAAAAGACAAAAGGTGGCAGCCCAGCGGCACCGAAGTTGGATGTCAAAGAATTTGGAGAATTTGCATACTTTTTGGTAATCAAAAATGGGTAGCTGAAACATCTTGATTTACAATCATTTATAGATGAATTTTCCTTAATGCCCATTTAGCGCAGGATTTCCCAGCTAGCCATGGTTGATAATTACCGGAGGGTATCTGGCTAGTGGTTTCAAGTACTTCGAAAACTTTCCATGCCATACGTGCGAAAATAATTCCCAATTGACTAGTACTTTAGAGAACGGCTGACACAACCTGGTAACGATGAAATTATGAGAATCAAACA